CAACAACAAGTTAAGAAAAGAAATGAGAAGGAAACAAGGTATCAAGAAATGTCAGAGATAAATTATCCCCGTTGTTGTGGGTGCCCTTGGAATAGTGACGGACGAAATCCAAAAATGACTGGATAAAACTGGGACTGTGTTTCGAACTGGGATGCTTCAGAAAAAAAACGAGAATTAAGAGAAAGGTATTTTGGTGTAGAGTGGTGAGGAAAGAACCAGACCCCATGGTTATTTGTTATAATACGTCCTTAATGGTCAAATTACAGCAAAAGATCTGCTTGAGACAGCGAATAATAATAATAATAATAATAATACACTTAGGAGAGAGAGTGATTTAATAAATGATACAGAAAAAAACAGTGTTTAACAATGTTTAACAATATTTCGACAATACGTCTTGTTATAATTATTTTTAAAATTACAATCAATTATAAAAGATATAAAAGAAAGTGGAAATTGTAATGTGTGAATGGGTCGTGAATCAGATTAGCTAAGTATAAGATAGTTAGTGATGACCAGCCTCAACCCCTCCCCATTTTGGCTTTGTGCCGCAATTGTATTTTAAATACAATAAATAATAATAAAAGAATATAAGTCTTTGTACAAACGTGGCTTGTCTTGAGAAAAACGGTTTTACTGGTAATCAACACGACGAAGCGAATGAAACTCAGCCAGCATGAATGGAATGCAACTGAAACATGCGTAATATGATGGGGACATACTCAATGTTCTATTAGTTGTTTACTTAGTAAAAGCAATTAATCAAATAGTTTAGTATGAATCTTATGGAATTCTCTGCTCTCGGGCTGGGATGTTAACACTTTGCATATGTAATTATCTTCATGCAGTAAACTGCATGAAGGTAATTACATATGCAAAGTAGGGTTGAAAGGTTGGTGGATGCTGGATATTATTTCAGGTGTACCTTCGTCGAAATTACGGTCATTTGAGATAAAATGTTTCACAAATTCTGTTGATGTCACGTTGTTGTGTCTGGCATCTGTGGCCAATAAAACTTTCGTTTAATTTTTTCCGTTGTGTAACACACAGAAATCAAGTCATGTTTGGTACATTGGGGGTTGTATATCAAATAGCAATCAGTACAGTTGCGACCTTCTGAAGAAATGGTAATGTTTCTCTTGGAATTTGGAATGGAATTGACTTGTGTTGTTGCATAACAAACAGTTTTTCCCATCCATGACTATTTTCTGGAGAACAGCGATCAGAAACCCCAGTAGAAATCTGAATGTTTTCTTTTGTTTCGTTGTTTGATATTTTGTTTCATTTTTCTTTTTTTCTTTTTTTTTTTTTTTGATGTTTTTGTCTCGTTGTTGTTTTTTCGTTTTTTGATGTTTTTGCTCCGTTTTTTATGTTTTTGTTTGTTTTGTTTTGTTTTTTTTGTTGTTTTTTTGATGTTTTCGTTTCGTTTTTTGATATTTTTGTTTCGTTTTTTGATGTTTTTCTTTCGCTGTTTGATGTTTTTGTTTCGTTTGAAAGAAACGATAGGTGAACTGGAAAAATCTCCTTAAAATGCGGATATTTTTGCGAAATATGTTCATAGCTGTCATGTAGTACTTTCAAAATGCCAACAAAATATATGCCAGTTGATGACTAAAAGGATTCAGTCAGGAATTTGATTGTGCTTTTCAGTGTTTTGATCTGAGTTAAAATTATGGCAGTCTTTCTTTTCGGCTGTTCCATGTGCAATGTGTTTCAGTCTCGACTCTTGATAGCCGCACTTAAAATAAATGACGAATGAAATCATCGGCATATTTCCAATAATCTTTTATCTCCGTGCGAATTCGTCTTACGCGCAAAAATTGTGACTTCGATTTGATTTTATCTTGTGATAAGTATGGTTAAAATGGCAGTGAAGATAAATATTTTTTTATTTACTAATTTTTCTCAATCTATATATCATATACAGAACGAACAGAGAATGGTTCGAGAGTTATTTGTAGTGGTTACGCTTAATTTATGATGGCCGAAACATATGTCAAAGTGTTGAAGATATTATGATTCGTGATGATGATGATATTTCGTCATTCTAGAAATGAAATTTCAGCATTATAAAAACAACCTTTCCAAAACAAGCAAGAGTAGCAGTAGTAAAAAGAACAACTCAGACTGGACAAGACGTATCTTCTTCGGTTCGTAAAAATCCAAAGTTAATGGTTTCAAAAGCTTCCCTTAACCACGAAATTCTCGGAACAATTATAAAGAAATAATCCCAAATTTTAAAGAAAGAATAAGAGACAATAAGCCTGAGAACATTTAACACATACAAAACCAATATTGTAAATAACATCACGATAAGACAAATACATATTCATGTCATTTATTTCAACATGTGTCTCAAACTCTTATTGTTGTATGTTATTGCTGTACATTTTATTCATTTCATTCTAGGTATAAAAAAAAAGAGAAAAGGAATCCTCTATCAATTACTAATACACGGGGTGACTTACATTAACAACTCAACATCGATCCCGGTGTCGAAATTAGCTCCTCCTTAATTCCCTAATTGTTCACTAGAGGTCGCTCTCCCTACACTATAAATACTGGCCAACTTCTCGCCTCGTTCTCTTTTTCATTTCTTCATTTCAGCGAACACACCTACAATGTAAGATCTCACAAAAGATAGCGTTTTCCCATTCGTGGGAGACTCCATGAACATTATACACACATACACATACGTACAAACTTTCACCAAAATACGAACTCTTTACTTTCACACACAAACACAAATGTTAATATATTTGTCAGTTGTAAATTTGTTGTTTAATACATATATTTGTTGACATATATATATATATATATATATATATATATATATATATATATATATATATATATATATATATATGTCTTCTTTTTTCTTTACATCTTCGGTTGGACTTAACTTGAGTCCGCCATGTTCTTGTAGTTGGACCTTCTAGCAGAAATAAACAGCACGTGTTTCTAATTCAACAACACTCAAACCTACACGGTCCTCTACGCCGTTACAAAAATTCTCAGAACACATGCCTGTCATTTGCAGAGAATCCTTCCATCTGTCCTTTTCTTTAACTGTTCTAAGTTAGTAAGCTCTGGTTTCTGCTACTAGTTTTTGATTTCCTATTTATATTATATGCGCAGACTGAGGTGTAAGCAAATAGGAACAGATGAAATTTTGCTTAGAGAGTGTTAAACTTATGTTCCTTTAGGATTTTGTTTAAGTTCGTATAGGCTAACTTATTTAATTACCTAGTTGTAATTTTACCTTTGTATACTTTTGTATAAATTCCATAAGGCGAGTAGATTCCGGTTTGCTGCACTAAATAGAATACGTTAAATGTTTATATTAAAGTGTTTTAACTAAATTAAGGTATCGTAGTTACAAATATAATAAATGAAATATACAACAGCGGCGAAATACCGGAAAACCTTAGTAGATGCACCAGGAGCAAATAAATGTGAGCTCCATCGGACAATCAGCTTAACCATGATAATATTCCGAATTCTGATGAATAGAACGCGAAACAGAATTAGGTCGGGAATAGGATTAAGAACAGTGTAGCCGTGACAAAGACACTAGATTAAGAAATGACATATTTATCATTAGAGTGATATCAGAGAGAACAATAGAAATGCAAAGTATGTGCACTTGCGTTTTCTAAAATATGCAAAAGCATTTGACAATGTACGTCACAAGGATCTATTTGAACTGCTAGGAAAACTTGATCTATTTGAGAAAGATATTAGAATAATCCAGAATTTATACTGGGAGCAAACCGCTTCATACAGAAGATTAATTGAGTAGGTATACAAAAATAAAAAGGGGCGTGAGACAAGGACACACCTTCTTGCCGGATTTATTCATGCTCTACTTGGTGGTCGCAATATCAACAATATAATATATATGCAGATGACGCTGTTTTGATTGCAAACACGGAAAGAAAACTACAGGACCTCCTAGAAAAGGGAGTAAAAGAAAGCAAGAAGAAAGGATTTTCAACTGTAAGAAGACAGAATGCCTGGTTGTTAGCAAAAGAAAAAGCCCAAGATGTAAACTACAAATTTAAGATGTCAATATTAAACAAATACAGAAGTTGAAAAATGTGGGAAGTGTTTTCATAAAGGATGGGAAAGGCGACACCAAAATCCGAAGTCCCTTTGGATTAGCGAAAAATGTCTTCCAAAAGCTAAGCAAAGTAGTAAGAAACCAAATTTCGTTACGAACAAAAAACAAAGAGTGCCAGACTGTTATGTAATATCAATCCTCTAATATGACAGTGAATAGGGGATAATTTTCTCACAGATGAAGAGAAGACAGGAGGCAACAGAAATGTGGATCTACAGAAGGATGCTGAGTAAGCAACGAAGTAGTCTTAAGAAAAATGGAGACAAAAATGAGATTTATGCTCAGATTCAGAAAGAGTCAGCTAGAATGCTTTGGACACATAATGAGGAAGGAGGGCTTGGAGAATTTGGCACTCACGGGGTATATCGAAATAAAAATAGAGAGGGGAAGGCACCTGCATTACGAGCCTGTATGAATGGATGACTCATAATGGGACATGGCACATAAAAGAAGTTTGTTGAACTATTCAGCGCGTATTTTAGTGCCATTGAATGCTTGTCTCAATTTATGGGAGCATTGTATATTCAAGCTGGTCAATGATGCAAGTAATGCGGCTTAAATCTTCTGTAGCAGTTCAACATAAACATGAATTTGCGTAACTTTTTGAGAAAAAATTAATATATTTTCAAACATTTGAAAGTGGCTGTCTGTCGATATCAGAAGGCTGCAAGTTCATATCATGTCGGGGTGACCAGGAGAAGCGACTACCAGAAAAATATGAACAAGAAAATGGACTGCTACAGGAACATGAACATGAGAAGTGTGAAGGGACTACCAGAGAAACGTGAACGGGAGAAGGGATTAGCAACGAAATATAAAAAAAGGAGATGGGACCGCCAGAGAAATATGAACTGTTGAAGAGAGATCCAGAGAAACATTAACAATAGGAAGGACCGCCATCGAAATATGAACAGAAAAAAGAGACTACCAGAGAAACATGAACAGAAGAAGGTGCTACCAGAAAAACGCGAACAGGATAAGGGACTGCAATAGAAACATGGACAGATGAAGGGATTACCAGACAAACATGAAGAAGAGAAGTCACTGCCAGAGAAATATATAACAGGAAAAGGGTCTACTAGAGAGACATGAACAGTAGAAGTGACTGCCAGAGAAACATGAACAAATCAAGGGACTACTAGAGAAACATGAACAGGAGAAGGGGCTGCCAGAGTAACATGAACACGAAAAGGTACGCCTGAGAAACATGAACAGGAGAAAGGAATACTAGTGAGATATGAACAGAAGGGACTGCCAGAGAAGCATGCACTGGAGTAGGGACTACCTACGAAACATCAACAGGAGAAGAGATTACCAGAGAAACATGATCAGGAGAAGGGGCTACCAGAGAAACATGAACATGAGAAGGGACTGCAAGATTAACATGGACAAAAGAAGCGACTGCCGGAGAAACATTAACAGATGAAGGGACTACCAGAGAAACATGAACAGGAGCAGTATCTACCAGAGAAACATGAACAGGAGAAAGGACTG